GAGGACGAAGAAGAAGACGACGATGAAGAAGGAACGGGCTATAGCATGAAAGAAGGTGCTAAACGGGTAGCACCGAGAGAAACGGGACAGGAGAATGGCGACCATAACGTAATTTTGACAGAAATAACGCCGCCGTGCTCGCTGAGAGACAATAAGTCCGCGACACTCTCTCGCAGGGGATCTTAGAATAGTTTAGTGTCCGCTCGTTTCTTCCTCTCTCTCGATTCTCCCTCTCAGTCCGGTGTTCCACCTTCGACCGCGACTTTCCCGTTTCATCTGCTCGCTTTGCGTGACCCTCTTGGCGCCACGATTTTCATGGTTGCGACCGGATTGATGATTCCGCCGTATACAGCCGCTGCGCCATTTTAGTTGCGCCCTTTTCTGGCCAACTTTTCGCTGAACGCATTGTTTCGCCGCCTTCGAGGAATTTTCCCGCAACTTTCGCGCTATCCTTCGTCCCCTTCTTCTTTCTTTCCGCGAAATTATCCCTCCCACTCTTTCGACGTTTTTTACTCGGAAGAGTAAGGCTGATTAGTATAGAGGGGTTCTTCTCGTCGATCGCGAACGGATTTCGAAGAGAAAAGGTGAAACGATGCCTGTCCCCGTTCGTGAAATCCCCGTCGGAGACGTAATCCTCGCTCGGAGATTCGAAAATATTTGCGCGCGACGTCAAAATATTCCCACCAATCACGCTTCGCGCCACTTCGCCCCACAGCCCCGTGAAATCGACGCAACGTCTCTATTCTGGCTCATTAAATCGCATCTGGCCGGTTACTCCTTTAACGGAGCCGTTTTTCCGGAAACAATGTTGTGACGAGGGCCGTCGAAAAAGGGGTAAAGAGGCTGGCGGAGGGGTGGGGTTGCCCGTTGGGATTTTTTTTTGTCGGTATTTAGGCCCTCTCGAGAGAGAAAAAGGAAGGAAAAGGTTCAATGGACCCTTCGCGGCTGCCACGCAGAACGGACTGCGACGCAGCGGGCACTTGACGCATTATCCAAACACGCGATTTTGTAGGTTACGTTAATCCCTCGGGGCCCGCCCTTTAGCCCTTTCAATCGGTCCTTGGAATTACGAATGCGCGCCACGGCCGAATAATTGTTATCGTTAAAGTGATTAATTTCGAGTCGTACGGCGATTTTGTAATCGAACGTTGGACGAATTATTCGCACGAACGGGGCACGCAACGCGCGCTCGCTGCGAGGCAACGGAACGCTTTGCGTGAAGATCGTGCGCGCCGGAGGATTTTCGGTGCACGAGGACCAGATCACCGGGACTCGTATAAAGGGTTATTCAGCTAAGGCCTCGCGCGGATTAAATGATAAAAAAGGAGGAGAGAACCGGCGCGCTGAAATACGGGGGCCTCTCCTTTTCAGGATCGGGCTTTTTGAAAATTTTAAACTCCCCGGCCACGGGGCCCGGGGTTTTTCATCCGCAGCCGGATCGACCTCTCCCCTCCAGCCTGTGCGAGTTTCAAGAACTACGAATAAAAGGGTTCAGCCTCTGAAAGCCGCTGGATATTCGTGCAAAGGGGTAGGAAAAGGGGGATCCCGCGTTGCGTGTCGTCCCGTGGATTTCTCATATTTTTTAAGATTTGTCCCTTAAGTCCCGTCACGTTTCTCGTATTCTTCATTTCACAGTCGACCAGTGTCGGCCTTTCTGACTCACTTTCTGGGTGGCAGCATCCCCGCCACTTTTCACGCTCTGTGCCACTCTTTTTTAATCCCCTTTCGAGGAATTAAAAGGAAAAAATAGAATCGTCTCTTTTAATGGAGAGTGTCGGTAACCATTTTCTTCGCGGACGTGGAAATTTTCGGGTAACGAGCGTGCAAGAGTTAATCCTCGACGTGGGACGCGAGGAAGACGATTAAATTTACGTGGAATATACATCATTGTATCTTTTAACAAGATCCAAGGCCAGGTTCCGTTCGACGCCTAGCACCGCGGCCGTTTTGGCACGCTTCCTGCGACGCGGCTCGCATAATTAGGCGTCAACAAAATGTCTGACATTCCCGGATACGAAAGAAGAATCATAGACCCCTCCCCCTTCTCTCTCTCTCTTTCTCTCTCTCTCTCTCCCCTGCCCTCTCTCGCTCTCGGTCACTCGCGATACTACTACCGATGCTGTTTATTCTTAATTAATACTCGCTCGATACCAGGGGCCTTGACCCTCCACGAGTATGCCTCTTTCTCACACGCGACGGGTTACATCGCGATGCTGGCTGTAAATTCGCGCGAATAGGAGTTTCCTCGACGACGGCGCGGCTACTCGGAAGGTGCTCTAACGAGCTACACAAAACACGCAGCTGCGTTACATAATTACTGTACCGGAGGATAGATTAACAGTCATAACCGAATGTTACGCAACAATATGCACGAGCGTTCCCGGTTCAGCTAAACTGGATAATTAATTTAAGCATCCAGAGCGAAATGTAAATTTCGTAATTCGAGCACGTGCTGTCTTTGACCGAACACCGTTACGGAACCATTATTTTCCATGCTCGATTCGCGCGTAAATCCCCTTGCCATTTCTTCGCGCTCCAATTTCGCCATTCCCCGCCGTGTCTTCTCGATACGATTCGTCGATTAAAAAGAAAAGAGAGGAGAAAAAAGAAACGAAAATGGAGAAACAGGGAAAGAATAAGAAAAAGAAGGGAAAGATTGGATAGATCCAGAAGCCTCTCGTATAGCGGAGGGAACATAATACCGAAGCATAATGCCTTGCCTCTCCCTCGCAACCTTTACCATTTCGTCTCTTTTCTCGTTGTTCCTTTTTCTTTCGTTTCCCTGCCACACGGGGAACCCTTCTTCTCTTTCGCGTACACACGTGCGCATAAAACTTCGCTGGTACCTATCCCCACCAGGGCCGCACGAAAGGGGGAACCCCTAAGAGAAATATTCGACAATTTTTAAACTCGTTTCTGAACGCATTCAAACGTGCACAGTCGACAAGTAGGAATTTCTTGGAATCAACCGAGCCTTTGGTAGGGCACGCCGAACGTGGAACGTGGTTTCCGGCTGCCGGAGGTGGGGTCTCCGCCATATATTCTCCCGCTGGTTATATATTTCGCGGCTATTCGCGAAATTCTTGGGCAGAGCGTGTTATTGTCACTTAAGCCGCATGAACACGATGAACGCCCCGGAACGTCGTAATGGCGGCACTGTAATGGAAGCAGAGGACGTTGCTAAAGATTATCGAATAAGTCGCTAGCGTCGTAGATAAGGGACAGAGATCTCGGCATAGATCGCTTTTACGCCGTTTCCAACGCGATTAGCTCCGGGACAGTAGTAAACCTTACCGTGCTACCGGTAATCCGAAAATTGGAATCGACTATAGCCAGTGTTACTTGTAAAACTAAAAATAGAATAAAAAGTAAAAAAATACGTATATATAAAAGGGAGCAATATAAATGCAGAACGATCGCCATAAAATAGCCATCAAAGAGTCTTTAACGAAATCCGACTTGGGCTGAAACTGGAGATTCAAAGAGGATAAGAAACGAGTTTGCGATCGAGGGAATCGACAAGTGTATAGGATGCACTTCCGTGCACGAGTAACCCCATGCCTCAGCACCCTCAGCCAAGTGATCCGCGCCCGAATCGAGTCGCGTCCGTCCTCGACGCGACTTGCACGAAACGAGTTCGCACCCCCGTATCGATGGTGTTTGCGGGGACCAGTTCGAGGGTCGAGAAAGTAGGACGCACACGGGGTTTTCCGCTCCAAAGGGGTAGCCATTCTCGACCACCACCACCACCACCACCACCGTCGCCGCCGCCGCCGCCGCCGCCGCCCCATGTGTGTGTCGACTGACCAGAGGCGGCCAGCAGAGCGCACCCCTGTCGAATATCGTACTCGAGCGTGTACCGATCGACCAGCAGGACCGTAGACTGCGAAATCGTGAAAGTTGCCAACGAGATTTGCGAGTGGCTCGAAAGGCAGTTCCTCTGCGAAAGTTCTTCCTTTGATCTGCATATCCGCCATGATTTCTGGTGTACACTTATCGCCGAGTGCCATTAGCAGGCAACGGCTGATATCGTGGTTGGTAAAGCCAGTGAGAGCGCAGCGAAGCTCTTTGATGGATTGCAGGACGCTTCTTTACCAACGTCGAATCTTTGTTAACAGCAGAGGATACTGGTATCGACTATCGAAAAGCTTAGGAGTTATTTTACCAGGAGAATCTAAAATTCGGTGTAAAAGAAAAAGTTCGGTACATTCGATACCATTGATCGTCATCCCCTAAATCCCCAAGAGTAATCCTCACCTCTTCTCTTTGGTTTCTGATTTCAGCATTATTGAGACAAAGCATGTCTCCGGTTGCGGACACCTTGATTACACGTCGGGGCAGGAATGCGGTAGCTCGTATTGTAAAGAGCTCGGGTGCCGAGAGCATTTTCACTGTCTGGACTGCAGTGGTAGGGTCTTTGTGAAAAAGGAAGAAATGATCAGGCATTTCAAGTGGCACAAAAAGAGGGACGAATCTTTGCAGCACGGTTTCATGAGGTACTCCCCGACGGATGATTGCTCGGAGAGGCATCCGGGTCGTGCCTGCCCCCACAATAGAAAACAGACTCACTACCACTGTATCCACGAAAATTGCGATAAGGTTTACATATCGACGTCGGACGTGCAGATGCACGCCAACTACCATCGCAAGGACTCGGCGATCATACAGGAAGGTTTCCAGCGATATCGAGCTACCGAGAGCTGTGCTACCGATCACTGTCCCTTCGTTGGCCAGCGGACCACGCACTTCCATTGTCGGCGACCAGGTTGCCGGTTCACCTTCAAGAACAAGGCTGACATGGGTAAAGAACTACTCGCAGTTCTGCCTTAGAAACTATAGTCCTCTCTTCCCTAGATTACTCGTTACATACATTTGCCGTAGCAAAATTAGCGATCACTGTTTGCTTGCCGATATCTTTAACTCAGAAACTAACGATTTAGTTACCGAGATGCTCGCATAATATCAGCTAATACGTGCCTTTCGTAATTTTCTTCTTACAGACAAGCACAAATCGTATCACATCAAAGACGAGCAATTATCCCGAGATGGGTTCAAGAAATTCATGAAGTCCGAGGCCTGTACCTTCGAGCAGTGCCGTTTTTCACGCGTCTGCAATCACATCCACTGCATACGGCCCCACTGTAGCTACGTTCTTCATTCCGCGGGTCAACTGTTTTCCCATAAACGAAAGCACGAGCGTCACGAAACCGAATTGGCTTACAGAAAGTACAAGCAGATTAACGCCGTTGGTGGGATTCGACCGCCTGGATCCTGGCCACCGGACGATCTCAGCACGCAAAGCCTTTCCCTCAGCCTTAACGGCGAAAGCTCCAACGAGGACAGAGGCTCGCCGTCCTATTATTCTCTGGATGATTCCTTTCAGAGCGGAAGCGACCTAGCCATGGATCTCACCGCGCCTACCACCACGGTCGCTGCCAGTGGAAGTTCCACGGTCACCGTCGACCAGCAGCATCAACAGCAACAACAGCAGAGCCAACAGCTCACCGCCACGGAACTCGCCTATCTGGTACCCGCCACCTCCGACTGTCCCTGTCATCTAGGTAGGGAACATCATCATTGCGGATTAGATCGTTGCGGGGCAGCCCTGAAGGATCCCCGCGAGGTTAGGGAACATCTGAGGGAACACGAGACCCAGGAACGCATCACGGATGCGTTCTTCGAGGAGGGCGGCTGCGACGACAGTTGTCCCTACGCCGACAAGGAGAAGCATTATCACTGCAACTGGGAGAACTGTCGCGAGGTGATCCTTTCCACCGACAAACCCTTCCGTCGACTCCAGCATTACAAGATCCACGAGTACAGTCGACAGTTGAACCTCTCCTGCTCTTCTCACGCGCTCTCCTCCGACGTCACGTTGACCCACCTGACCAACATCGACGCGATGTTCAGGCGGAAGAGAGGCAGGCCTCCGAAGAACAGAGTGATCGAGATCTGGTCCGGCGGCGATCCCGCCACGCATACTCACGATTCTCCGCAAGCCATCTTCACCAGCTTCAAGCTACCGAAACCCCAGACACCTAGTCTGACGCCTAATCCCATGACGGAGGATCGAGAAGGAAGCGTATCGCCTTCGAACAGCCTCGGTGAACCCGAAGGGTTCTCGACCTATAATCCTGACGGATGTCCAGATCCGGCTTGCGTTCTCAGATCCACCAGACACCATCATTGTTCGCAGCTGAGGTGTCACTTCTCCACCGATAGACCCGACCAGCTACTCATGCATAGCAAAGACTTTCACGATAACGTCGACATACCGCCCGGCTTTGCCTTCTTCGATAAGATGGTAGATTGTCGACTGGTCGGTTGTCACAGTAATCGAGTTAATCGGCATTTCCACTGTACCAGACCGAACTGCGGCTACTCGTTCGTCAGATACTCGACCATGGCGATGCACGAAAAGCAGCACGGTAGTCACGGCGAGGATCGATTGGAATCCTCGTCGAACCAAGAGTGTCAGACGCAAATGCAGCCGGTCGTTCAGGAAACCAAGCCCAGGATTCAAGTAAAGAATCCGGCCGAGCTGATCGAGAAACCCGAGGATAGTTTGACCGGGGCCGACATCGAGAACAGATCGATGATGGACGAGAAGGAATCGGAGATCCCGAGCCCCCCGGATGTTAACAAGACCACCGGTAAGTCTAATTTTCAACATGGACACGAACCAGTGCACCTGTATAGTATTGTTTTATAGATGAGTTTTGTTTGGTAGTTACTTGAGATGTTTATCGAGACAATTATCCAGTCAATGCATGTCTATTGCACGTACACGCACCTCAGTGTATATTACGACACACGTCAGCACTCCTTAATCCTTTCGATATCATCGTCAATTTATTCGGCTTTCCGTCGAAAGGATTAAACTATATTTTTCCCTGTATAATTTTCATTTTTTTTTTTTTTTTTTTTTTTTTTTTTTTTTTTTTTTTTTTTTTTTTTTTTTTTTTTTTTTTTTTTTTTTTTTTTTTTTTTTTTTTTTTTTTTTTTTTTTTTTTTTTTTTTTTTTTTTTTTTTTTTTTTTTTTTCTCGTTGCGTTTGATGTATCTATTGTACAAGGTGGTTGTAATCATAGTGGGAGGTATATTTGAAGTGTTGGTTGTTTGGTTGATTGTTGCTAGTGGTGAGGGCGGCAGGCACCTATTATCCGGTCAGTGGACCGCCGAGTGAACCCGCACTTCCGGGCGTCGTGCTATCCATGCGAACTTCCGTGCACCAAGGTTCGTGTCTCTTTCGACGACCAATTTTCTTGCCTTGAATTGTGTTTCTCTTAGTATCAGTAAAAATAGTCGTCGCCGTTCGCCTTTCTCGCTTGTTACCCGTTCGTTACCCGTACTTAGCCCGAACCTTTCCATTGCAGAGTCTCCGGTTCTTCCGTCCACCAGCTCGGCCTCGCCGCACACCCTCTACGGACCGGAACAGAGCTGCAGCAGGCCCTTCTGCAAATTGAAACGTAAAAATCATTACCACTGCAACGCGTGCAATCAAGCGTTCTCCGAACTGGACCGACTGGTGGCCCATATAGCGAAACACTCGACAGGTGCCATTCTCAGTCAACAGCAGCACGATTTGGCTAGTCAAGCGCCGAATCAGCTGCAGCACGACTACTTCGCGCAGTTGTCGCAGAAGCACGACTTCATGGCGCAGAACGCTCAAATGGCTCAGAATATTCAGAATTTCCAGAATCAGATGCAACGTCAGATGCAGCAGACTCTGGGCCAGATGAGTCAGCAAACCCAAGTGAAGGAGGTGAAGATCGAACCGACGAGATGCGGCGCGGACGTGGGTGTTCAGAACGTTCCGAACGTGAAGAGGGAGCCCAGCGAGGTCTCGAGGGACGAAGGGAATAATTCGGTGATGGATAACAACGAGAACGGCCAGTTGTCCCAGCCGAGTATGCCACCCAGTGTTCAACAGTCTCTGGTTCCAACTAGCTTCGAGCTCGATCTTAGCCACGGATTTCATTTCCCTAGCCCGGCCGTAATGGCCGCTATGAATCAGCAAATAGCTCTGATGAATCAAGCCCTACCACCTTTCCTGCAACACGGTGGCATGTACACAGGTGGACCAGGGCTGATGTTCTCGACTGGTCTACCTCCGACGAATTTTCTACCTCCGGCCAGGGACGAGAACCCCTTAGCCTCGCTGGCGGCGAACCTCAATTTGAATAAAAGGTCGCTAACTCCGCCGGACAGTAATTCTCCCGAGGCGAAGAAACAGAGGCTTCACCACTCCATGCGGATGCTGAAGGATGAACCGGTGCCGGATGGATACGTCAGGTTTGTGCCATGTTTGTTCTACACTCGAAGCTTGCCTTCCCGTACTCGTGATCGACATGTTACGGTATCATTCTGATTTTCCCTCGCCGTTTCAGGTTCAGATTCAACGAAGACTGTAGGTATTCTCACTGCGGCTACAGAGAACACCAGACGCATTTTCACTGCATGCGTCAAGACTGCGGCTACTCGTTCTGCGACAAGACGCGTTTCGTTCAGCACACGGCGAGACACGAGCGGCTGGACACCCTTATGGGTGGTGATTTCCAGCAGTACAGAGCCAATGTTCCCTGCGGCAGAGCTCAGTGCGCGTACACGTCGTCGTTGGGCTCGATGCAGAACAAAGCCTCGCACTTTCACTGTCTGAAATGCGATTTCGTTTGCACGGATACCAACAAGGTGGTGGCTCACAGGCGGCAACACGCGAAATTGGACAGTATCGCGGCAGCGGGCTTTCAAAAGTTCACGCCCAGTCAACCTTGCGGAGGTGTTCAGTGCCAGCATTCCGGCAAACAGACTCACTATCACTGTCTTCAGTGTCAGTACGCTGTTTTGGGTCTAGCGCAGATGTCCGCTCACAAGTATCGACACATGGACACATAACGATGTCCATGGGATTTGCCACTTGTCGGTGACTCAAGAAAGACAATTCTCTGGTCCCCGTAGACATTCCTTGAAGAGTCCAGGCCCAAAGCCGAAGAGTGGGCGAGTAAGGAAGCAGCGGGGGGGCTGGATCCAGTCGACGAATTCGGATCCCGCTGATGAAATCTGATTACAAGAGGACTGAGGAAGGAAAAAAAGACAATTTCATGCTCCCTGTAGACATTCCCTGCAGAATTTGCTCGCGATTGTCCATGCCCGATACACGATGCGTGTGCGTTTGTTCGACGAGGCTGGATGATTAGGAGCAGACCCCGACCGCGGCCTAGTCATTAATCTTCAGCCGTTCTATCGACCAGGAGGTATCGATAGCATTTGCGGCGTGTGTCTTCTCGTTCAGGATCGAAACAGCACGGATATATCGGTCGATGCATCGAATGGAACTGTTCAGTCAACTCGATGACTTCGTACTTACGAGAGAGAGAGAGAGAGAGAGAGAGAGAGGGAGAGAGAGAGTGTGTGTGTGAGAGAGAGAAAGAAAGAAAGTGAGGAAGAGAGAGAGAGAGAGAGAGAGAGAAAGAGAGAGAGAGAGGTATTTATTAACCGATCGACGGACGATCTTGGAACATTTCACGATCCTTCTCGAATCCTCCGGTGCTGGATGAGTTTTGAAACACCGAGCGATTCGGTAATGGAAGAGATCTAACGAGGAACGAAGGAAGAACCTGGCATAGAACCGTAGACAATAACACGGATGACGAGTCTATCGTATAGCTTTAGATCGCGAGGATAAAAGACAAACTATAATATTTAATAGAAAAAGACCTTGTACATTTCGTTTTTCTTTTTTTTTTCCTTTTTTTTTTCTAGTATCATTCGTGTACCCTCCGCGTGGTGCAAAGTAGTCGTCGCGACGACTTAGCTCCTAGAATATAGATAGTTAATATATGTAAAGAACTGACACGAGAGAGAAAAATCAAACCTGCTACGAGATCTATGGAATCTACTGAAACTCGAGTCCAAGATTACAAAGTTCGACTACTGTTTCCGTATGTGAATGAGATCACCGGCAAACAAAGGCGAGTTAAAAAGACAAAAGCACTGTGTCTAGTCCATCGCACCATCGATGATCGCGGACATCGGATCATTGCCGAAGAATTATCAAACAATTCGCGGCAATCGTTGAAACAAAGACGCAACACAAACGGTCACTCATCAATGGTGTAATGATTTCTTTATGATCGTCCACAGTTTTCCTTCTTCTTTTTTAACGCGAACACGCTGCTGTTATTTCGCTAGTTCCCCCTCCCCCCGCCCCCCCTTTTTTCTTTTCTTTTTTCTACGATGAAAGGAACTCACCGACGAAATAACGCATGGTAACGAATCGTACTAAAGATTATACGCTTTCTCGGGACACGTGCCGCGAACAGGAGGGTACGCGCTTCTCATTAATCGTATTACAAACAGTATTGATAAAACAAAACGGAAAAAAAAAAAAAGAAAAAAACGAAAAAAACTTCAAGAAAACTGAGAGTTAATAAAAAGACTGCCAGCCAAGACGAGACAGGGCGAACAGATATCGAGAATGATTTGGTGATTCGTTCGCTTTCAGGCAACCGTTTCTCGCTGGGAGGTAAACCAGCGAATATTTTGTCGAAAACTAAAGAGCATGTATATTGTGAATGTACAGATCGTCATGAAGAATTAAAAGAAAAGTATGTGCGCAAGGTATACTCTAAAATACGAAAGCTCGAAACGAAAGGTCGGCAGGTGTGCGTTTTATATGTGGTGTGTATCGATAAAGCTAGGAATTCTCGCGTTCTTGTTTCCAGGGGGATATTCAGCAACAATACGATATCGTTAAACGTTCGTTTCCATACATCGTGATATTATAAGAACTCGACTATAGCGACTGAAAAGCAAGTTTCCACTTTGTAAGATACTAGCGAAGAAATTTAGAAAATAAACGATCAATTTTTATTGCAAATTCGCTTCGATATCCGAAGAATCTACTTTTAATTCACAACGTGCGTCTACGAAATGTATCCAAACGGCTATAGAGACGTTCTGCGAGGATTTGAATAATTTCTCTGTAAATCTTCGACCGTCTATCTGTCTATCTATCGTATCGTTGGCGTGTCCTCCACTGTGCAAAAGAGACGATCGACGAGTAACACGACGAACCTAAACAGGACATTGAAAAAGGTATTTTTTCGAGGAGTACGATTGACCACGTAGCTGTTAGAGCATGCATAATCTCACTGCGACGATGCGTGTGCGTGCGAGCGTTGGGTGACGCGCTAGGGTGCCTTTAGAGTTTCCCCCGAACTTGTAGGACCGTGCCTTAGCAACGATAACCGATTATTTACACAAATTCTTTTAATACGAACGATACGAGGAAAAGAGACACACAGCAACGATGTGAACACGATCGTAGGAAGTTAGTGCCTTAAAGGAGCGCGTCGAAGTACACGAGAAACGAACACTCAGTCGCCAAGAATTACCCTTTCATCTTTTTATCGACAATATCGAAGATGGTTACACTTCAGTTCGGTTTATAGTACGATCAATATAAATTTAGAGGCTTATACACGTGATTATAAAGGAGTCGGAACTTCGCGACTGATAAGGAGTCTTCGTTTTTTAGACACTTTTTTCCAGCGTTTCGTGAGTCGAGAACCACGAAGACGAGAACCAATCTCGTCCAATCTCGTTTCGGGGGTCCGCTTTCGCAACGCGCGCGTTTAATTTAAGCAAGTAACTTTTTAAATTTACCCGACGAGCATTCTTTCGATGCGTTACGAGAAGCAACTGTGTGATAAAAAGCCACGAAGAGGGTTTCGTCATCGTTACGAGGTAAATTCGTTCACGAATTTCAACGATATTTTCGCGATAATTTATAACACGGAATGTGAACATTTTAGAATGATCGAACGCGCGAAAGAGGGTCCCCTGCGATCCAGGACGAGCCTCCCCCCCCGAACTCAACCCCGATCTTCCCCTATTAGTCTCTAGTATATCATTCCACTAGCAAGGTTACGCGTGTCAACGAAGTCGATTAGTCATATATCGGTCCCTGTCCTCTCGCGATCGAGCAACAGTCCCAGGAGGAATGGTTCGCGACGCCCGGTGTCGATCTATCGATCCTTCGTCTGGAATAATCGCGAGGTGGATTCGCGTGGTGTACCGCGCGTCGAAGCTTCTAGGAGAAGCGGAGAATCGTGGACAAAGCTGCTTGAGAGCCGAGCCATTTTTAAACGAGTGCCATAAACGATGTAGAGTCTCTCTCTCAAGCTCCTGCCGCTTTTAATCCCTCCTGGCGCGAGGAAATTGCGTGGGCGCGATGAAGAAACGAGACGACGCTGTAAAATATTTATTGTAATTCGCGACACGAGCACGTATGGTGATTAAGCGAGACCGGAAGCGGCGAGATCGCGAGAGGATCGAGCGTTCAGAGGGTGAACCAACCTCGATGGATCATCGCGAGAGAGTTGGAGAGAAAGAAGCAGAGAGAGAGAGAAAGAGAGAGAGAGAGAGAGCGTGTGCTTGGAGTAGCGACGATGAACTGAGGTTGCCTTATA